AAAAAAAAAAAAAAAAAAAAAAAACGAAAAACAAAAAACCCAAACCTCACAACAGTATAAAATGAAGCCAGAGTGGGACAGTCTTTGGATCTCACAGAACCCAAGGAGGAGCTGAGGCGTGGAAAGTCAGAGGTGAAGCGAAGGTGGAGCCCAGTGTCAGCCCCATCCCCAGCTCTCCCCTCCCCTCACCAGGTGGCCACTCAGCGATGCAGCCGTGGCCACTCCAGGGAGATCATCCTGAGCCTCTTACCCCTTCCTACTTGCTCGTGTCACCATCTGAACCCTGGTCCACAGCATAGGCAAGTGTTCTGGCATGGACTCGGGACAGGCGGGGTTAGTGTAGCCCAGGCCACAAGCCAGGAGAACAGGAAGCAACAGGGATGCAGGGGCATTGGTCCATTTTCAACTAGGAAGGGGCCCTGTGCACAGCAAACATAAAATTATCCCCAAAGAGGGCTGAGGAGTGAAGTGACAGCCAGGGGGAAATGAACTAGCCCATTCTAACTTGACGGTCATCCGGGAGGCCTCTGCTGCTATTTTGACTTCATAGCCCAGGGATGGCAAACTTTAGAGTTTTCAATGATAAAACAGCTCACCGTGGCACACGTGCCATCGGTTCATCACCACTGCGGTAGCCCAAGCTGGCCTCGAACTGTCAGCAATCTTCCCGCTTCCCAAGTGCTGGGATTGCAGGCGTGTACTATTTTGTAGGGAGGAGAGGAAGAGACAGAGCACACCAGGGTGAGGGACTGTGGCAGGGAAACTGCAGGCTGGGTAGGATCTAATCAGCCTGCTTCTCGAAAGGGAGCCCCCCCGGAGAATGTGGAGTACTTTGCAGGTGATTCCTATAAAATGCTTACTTATATAAACCCGTTCTTGCAATAATGTAGGCCTAGGGTTGTATAAAACTACACATTAGGGGAAAAGTCTCTGTAGTGATCTCTGAAAGACTGCGTCATGGGTAAAGTTCAATTTTTAAATGTTAACACTGACAACATGATCGACTTGTTAAGGTTTTAAACATTTTCAAAAACATTGGCTTGTTTTAAGACAACTGGAATATTTTATTATTTTGGCTATTGCCACCTTGATTAAAATGAGGAAGACAATCAGTGTGTTTAAAAAAGTCCTGGCCCCTCCCTCTGAGAGTTTCTGTAACATAATTCATTTCTCTGGGAAGAAATGAGGCACTTTCATTTATTGTAAGACTTTTTGCTTCAGCGGCCCCGAGTGCTGGGTGACGAGACAGCCCCAGGGCACTCAGAAAGAATTCCACATCTGAGAGCTTGGAGCCACTGAGAACTTAATGAGCCAGAGAGAAAATCTCTTTCTGAAATGAGAACTAACTGTAGTTGGCACTGATTAGGTTTTTTAAAAAAAACTAATAAAATATTTTACTCATTAAGGTGCACATCAAAAGAGGCTAAAACAACACTTAAGAGCTCAGGGTTTGGATCTCAGTTCCGGGTTTTAAATCCTGGTTCCGCCATTTTTTACTTAGCTGACACACAGGAGAAGTCAACATGGGACAGCTAAGCTTCAATTTCCTCACTTGTAAAATGAGGATATTAACACTTATCTCTCAGGATAAGAATGAAGATTGAATATGGTAATGCCTATAAAAATAACTTAGCACACACAAGTTCTAGCCCAGTCAGCTCACAGTAAGTTGCGGTTGTTACCTTGGACATGTACTTGAACCACATCTACATATTTGAGAGAACCACAGTCATGTTTGCTGGAGCAGACATTGCTCTTTTCCTCTATTGTTAGGTTTCATCACAGTTTACTGTAATTGTTTGCTTAACATCTGACTAATCCTGCTAGACTGTAAGATTGGTGAGAACAGGGTTGTTTCTCTCTCGTCCATTCTGGACACATGTTTAGCATGGCATCTGGCCTGTCATCCCTGTGGGGGTGAGCAGGGGACTCCACAGCTCCCCAGGGGTAGCAAATCTAGTCAGAATGGGAATTTGGCTACAAAGAGGTGTATTCTTCAGTCGCTTTCCTTAGGGTTGCTGTGGAGGTTACAAGGCTGAACTATGAATGGCAGTCATGCACCCAGTGTCACTTCAAGGTCACTGAGTGTATCACCGTCCTGACCTCCTCAACAAGAAGTGAGAGCCACAAGCATGGCCTAGGGCCCCAGACACAGCCAGGTAGAAGACAGTAACTTCAACTCTCTTTAGAGCACATTTTAACACCTTAGATGTTCCTGCTTTATTTTTCCCGAAAACGTGAAGTGGTTAATCTATGTTTTAGAAGTAAATCTGTTTCCCATGACTGGTTTACCAATGTACTGAAGCCCTACCAGCAGCTTTTGTTTGTTTGTTTTTTTGGTACTAACGATCAAACTCAAGACCTTTCGCTTGTGAGGCAGGCAGTGGAACCACGGAGCTAAATCCCCAGCCCTTATATGTACTCTATAAGGGTTAGTACCCTTCAGAATAAGAGCTATCACGTTTTGAATGTTTACTAGATATGGTTCTAAATGGCTGGAAATGTACTATCTCATTTAATGATGACAACTTTTTTCTTTTATTTTCATTTATTTATTTATTTATTGGTACTGGGGATTGAACTCAGGACCTTGTGCGTGAGAGGCAGGCGCAGTGCCACTGAGCTAAATTAAATCCCCGGCCCATGACAACTTCTTATCCTCATCCCATAAATGGGGGACACAGGGCCAAGAAAGGACAAGAAACTTCTTCAATATTTCACAGCTAGGTGGCAGAACAAGGGCCTATTTCTCAGATCCAGGGTGGTGATTATTAAACTATGTGTCATGCTGCCTCCTTTCCCAATTCCTTTAACTGTTTCTTTACAAGCGCAGCTGAAGCTGGGCTTGGTGGTACACACCTGTAATCCCAGCACTCAGGAGGCTGAGGCAAGAGGATCGCTGAGAGTTTAAGGCCAACCTAAGCTACATAGTGAGTTCAAAGCCAGCAAATTCAGCCTCACCTGAGAGATTCCAGGTTAACAGTTTGCACACTGTCCTTTGAGATGCCCCCGATCTGGTGTGAGAAACAGGCTCATGTACTAGCAGGTGCTAACCACCCAGTGGACTGTGATGGGTTCACAAGACCCAGGCAGGGTACCTGCCTCAAGCAAGTCCTGAAAAATGACTGGAAGTGAACCCAGGTGTGACAGAGGTAAGAGCTGAACAGCTGGAAACCAGGATATACTGAGAGTAATAATCATTCCTTGCACTGGTCTGTAAAAACAAGGTAGAGATTTCAATCACTTGGTATCCAGATTTTTCAGGCCTGCCAATATAAGGAAAGTAACAGGAGCCAGGTGTAGTGTATCCTGCCTGTAATCCCAGCACTCGGGAGGCTGAGGCAGGAGGATCGCTGTGAGCAAAACCAGC